ACGGGTGGCTGCCCTTACAGCTCAGGGAAGCTTAGTGAAGCAATTTTAGAGGGGAAAGTTCCTGGCAGGTTTGTTTATTTTTATATAAATAATTAACAATTTTTTTCAAATGAAACGTTTTTAGAAATGAAAACCTGAGGCTTCTGAACATGTCCATCTCAAACACCCAACTACAGTCTTTAGAAGTTGAGATGAAAAGAGGAATTACTGGGGCACCTGGGTAGCTCAGTCGGTTAAGCTTCTGCCTTCGGCTCAGGTCATGATCCCAGGGTGCTGGGATCGAGCCCCACGTCGGGCTCCCTGCTCCGTGGGAAGCCTGCTTCTCCGTCTCCCACTCCCCCTGCTTGTGTTCCCTCTCTCGCTGTGTCTCTCTCTCTCAAATAAATAAATAAAATCTTTAAAAAAAAGAAAAGAAAAGAGGAATTATTTACCAAAAATTAAAAAAAAAAATCAGGGTAGAAACAGTAAAGAAGGAGGCATAGGGCACTGAGTACAAACAGTCATTTTGTCCCCATATGGTTCTGCATTGTATATAGTTCTACATTTTATATCTGCTTCAAATGTACTTGGGATTAAATCTGAAGGAGTTCACAGTTAACATTCTATTAAAGGGTCTATTATCAAATCCACTACCAAACTTCAGAATTCAATTTAAAACTTGAGCTGTCAGTGTGACACAATATAATAGTACTATATCCATGCTGCTATTTAAAAATATTTTTTGAGATTTCAGAATCTATTTTAGAACTGATTTTAAAAAAACAGGTAGAGTAGATGTTGCCCCAGCCGAAATTAGACTTGCCCACAATGCTTTATAAATTCAGTGTCCTTTATAAATTCAGATATCTCTATCTGTAACTTCTATTCTCTGTTGCCTTGTTTAGAGCTAGTTTAGAGCTAAATAGTTGGTTACCCAAAGTATTGTTATTAAAGGAAGTAGGAGCTTATCTAAACTTTATTGTTACTATTATTAAGCTTATTTCTAAAAAAAGCAACTAGTTCAAATGTTTGGTTTTTATGTATTTGTTTGTTTACTTATTTTTGAGTCTGGCAGTCGGCTATTTGGATACTTAAAAGTCTTTTTATAGAGGCTGACCAAGTTTAAGGTTAATCCTTTTCTATGTCTTCTTTCTATGAAGTCTTGGTTGTTGGATCTGAGAAGTTTAAATATGGCATGGGCTATACATTTACACATTCTTATAATTATCACTTCTAAATATAAATAGTAGGTCAGACAGGGTCTCTCCATCATAGGCATTTAAATTGTCCCATATGTCCATCCTTCCAATGAAGAATAAACTGTAGCCCAGGGCAAAGGGTAGATAATGATTGAACTTGTTTGGTGAATAATGTGGAATATAGGGATTTTTTTCAAGGAACTAATTTATTATTTGGGATGCCTTATTGACCTTTAGATGATCAGTTTCCCGTTTTCCCCCTTCCAGCATAGTTTTGAACTAGAGTTCAAGGAATCCAAGATAACCATATCCAAACCATCCTTTACATTGCAAGTTATAGTCAATGCAAAACAGAAATGTAGAAATTACAAGGCGTGAGGTCAGGAAAAGCTCAAGGATGCATCATCTCAAAACAATGTGGTTATTCAGCTCTTCCTCAAGGTGTTTTGGCATCATCTTATTACAGATTTAGTTGTCTTATTGTATAAGGATCATTTAGTTGAAATAAATAAAAATAGAGCCATATGCTTCAAATGAACTTGTAACTAACTTTTAAAACTCTGCAGGTTATGTTGCATTGAAGAGTTTACAATCAAGTCCACTACCAAATATTGATACTAAACTTCTCAGTGTGACAAATCAAATAGCACTATCAGGGCTGTCATTCAAGAAGTTTTAATCCAGTCTGTCTTCAGGTTAATTTTAGCTCAAGTGAAGACGTCACAAATATAACTGTTTATCTGTGAGAAATAGCATTGCATTGTGTATGAGTAATACAGCCCAGAATATTAAAGAAAATCATCAATAATGTTTATGTCTTGAATTTTGTTTAGAGTCCTTGCATGGTAAGCAAGAATCTCTTCAGGAAGGAAAAGGGAAGAAAGGTGACACTTCACTCAAAAGAAAAGGTACCGCAGATAAAGATAGATATGGTTCAATGTAATTCTGCATTTCCTAACTGCCTCAGGGAAGAGAGCCAGATTTGTTAGTTGTATACACTGAATACTTCTCTTAGGCCTTGTAAACCATAAGCCCTTGCCAAAGAATATAACCTCAGTCATTCTGTAGCCTGGATTTTAGCAAAGGTCCTGCTGAGAAAAGTGATGTTTGTGGGGAATAATTTAGAGATATCTAGTATACAGAATATCCATTCATCGTAGAAATTATAGGTGTTATCCTTGGGCTAAGCTATGCCATCAGAAAGCTATGCACTGAACCATATTTTCTTGAGCTCTCATCAAATTGCCTTCACTGATACGCACTTCGGTATAAAGTCCTCAACTCCCTTCACAGTATAACATAGCAGTGGAGGGGAAACTTTCATTATACCAATAATAACCTCATATTTTATTTTCTGAGGGGATAGCATGCCCACTACATCATTTAATGGCCCGTATATGAAATCCTAGGTGAGAAATTTCATTCAGAATCAAGGGACAGGAAACTCTTTCTTCCTCTGAGTGGTTAGATAATTAGCACATCTAAATGATGATACTTCCTTTTCTATTTTGGCTGACCAGAAGTTCAGAACCAAACTAGTGCCCGTATCCATGCAAGGGTACCTAGATCTCAATATCTGCTTTCTAATACCTCTCCCAGTTTTGACCTTCCACTTTAAGTTGTACTTGTCCTCACCCTAATTTCATGTAATTTTTTTCTATTTTGTTTTAACTGTTTCTGTGAAATAAAGGGGGTAAAATTTTTAAGTAATTGATAGTTGACAGAAGAAAATCCTAGACTCGTAACAGCATCTTAGTTAGATTTATGTTGAAGCTGCTATAACAACCAATTAAAGATTGAAATGCAGTTATAAATATATACAGTTGGCTTTTTCAGGGTATATACAGTTGGCTTTTTCAGGGTATATTCACATGGGGTTGTCATGAGTGTGTACCTTTTCTTAACTTTTCATTACAAATTGCCAAATGCAGTTGCAAGCCAAGAGTGTGCAAGTTCACATAATGATGGGCTGAAAGGATCTTTATTTTGCCATTTAAAAATACATAACCATGATCCCAAAGAGAATTTCATCCTTCTCTAATTATGTAACATGATATATAACTAGAGCCACCTGATAAGTTAACACTGAGATATAAATTTTAGCCAAAATGTTAAGGGCTATAATTTATGCTCAGCTCTACTGATTTACTAATAGGAGAATAGTTTTTGCATTTACAGTACTTATTCCTTGCTTTCTCATTGTGATCAATAAAAGCAAATGAAGGATCATCATAGAATCTTCAAAAATACAAATTAAAAAAAACAAATTAAATATACTATGCATATTAGTTACCAAATCAAGTTAAATATAATAATGCACATGCTTTAAGAGCATCCTTATTTAAAAGTATACACACCCCAAACAAATCATAAGCAAATACAAGTTCAACCAGTAAAATATATACATTGGAGTCATGCAGTTAGCTCAATTTAAGTAACTAAGAACTTTCAAACATTTTTTGCTTTTATTTTACTGGATTTCTGTTGTGTTAAATAATATTTGAAAGAGGTGAATTTGCAATCATGATTTAGAAGTCTTTCTGTTACATAGAAATGCTGTTTTTCGGCATGTGTCAGGTTTCCTCATTAAAAGGAAGTTACGATTTTAATTCTTAGTATTTAAAATTAACATCACTGGAGGTGAACACAACTGATTGATTATCCATTTATCTCATAGGTCAGTTGATACCATTATAATGAGATCATCTCTTCTGGTTTAAGGAGCTATCTCCTTTTTTCTTTCTTCAAACTTACCTTTATTTCCTGCTGTTGACATCTTTGACTCAGTCCTATTCTTCTCTGCATAATAGATCAGTCTCTACCCTTCTTCTCCCAAATCTTGACACTGAAATGCCTTTTGCCAAGTGTATTTTGGTGTTCTTAAATCATTTCTTATTCTCTTCAACCCATTTGCCATTGTCCCATGTTATTGATTCATAAAACACAGCTTTTCAACCCCATGACCTTACCTACCACTTGTTAATTAGGGGCTGAATGAAGAAAGTTTTCCCTAATCAACTAATTGCAGAAAATACTGAATTAGGCCAAGTTAAAAAGTTTTTAATGCAGGATTTTAAAAAATATATCAATATGCATCTCTAAGGAAGTGGGAAATACAATATGTAATATCCCAAAATATTTTGGCTGCAGAATTCTCCCTTGGAAGAGTATCTATTGGGGCTAGAGTTTTATGGAACAAACATCAGAGAATGATGTTGTCTTTAGTTCCACTGGCCTGCCCACGTGTTGGCATTGGCATCGTCCCAGTGCTTGCTTTCCAACTTGACTTATAGTAATAGGTGCTACCAGGCCACTTAGCAGTAAATGAAATGTCAGTGTTATAAACATCAGTGACATTTAACTGGAAGGGCATGGAAAAAGATAAAAGGCTAATGAAATTGAAATACCTGGCTGCATCCACCAGAACAGTGGCTCTTTAAGTGTGGTCACCTGGGAACTTACTAACAACACAAACACTTGGCCCCACTCCAGACCTACCAAATCTAAAACTCCGGGAGGGGCCCAGCAATTTGTGTTTTAACAAACCCTCTAGGGAATTCTGATGATCGTTAAAATTGGGGAACTATTAAACTGGAGCCCAAGGATTAATCCTGTACTGTAGCCATTGGAATATCAGAAACATTCAATTATTTATAACATATTTTTTATATGTCCCATCCCCCAAAATATTTCATTTGGATTGCAATTTAGGAAAAACATACATATGAACTGTTTCTATTTCAACATTGAACGGCTACACTGGGGACTAAACAATCCAGCTTTCAAGTGAAAGCCGGTCTCTCATTAGAAACTGAAGCTTCCATGTGGTCGGGTGAGTGGTACTGAGGAAGAAACGCCCCCCCTGTTACATTTAAGATGCTGGCAGATTATGTTCAAATCCCTATGGCATAGATACATTTTTATTCATTCAAATTTTGTTTTTCCCCTTAGCACTTTCATTGTTAAAAAATAGATATAAGTTAAATGGAATCAAAGCACGATGGTCCAAAAAGACTACCTGGCTCTTAGTTTTCACGGACTGATCATGTTATTTAAGAAAAGAAGAAAGAAGAAACTCATTTCAGTCTCACATTTACAATTGCAAAGTTCTTCCTCTTAGGAATTCTTCTTAGAGAAATTCATCTTAAAGTGCCCATAGTGTTATCATTTTTATTTCACCAGATTCAGGTCAAATAACAGGAAATCACCCTATTGAAATATATATCAAATAATGAACATTGTTGGTTATTGCCTGAACAAAGATTTTCTTAAATTTTTCCTAAATGTGAAAAGAGCTGGATATAACTTTAGACCTATAGATAATGGATACTATTTTTAAATGTGTAAGTAGAGGTCACCTAAACTCTCCATAAGACATAATTGACAATTTCCCCTCTACTTATAATCTATATAATTTAACTAGCATAACAGTGTAAGATATATTTACTTTTCTAAATAGCATTATCATTAAATAATCCTCATTAAGGAAATATAGCTTGGGAAATAAAGTATTCCCAAATCTATAGGTGTCTATAAACTGCATCTAAAATCTCAGTAATTATTCTGAAGGTAAGTGCAATTTAAACAGAATGATTTTCTAAACCATAATAACCTTGATCCTTTAAGGAAATATTAGGCTTTCTGAGTTCCGCTACTTTGATGAATCACAGGATCTTTCAGACCATAAGAGTGCCATGCCACCCAACTGGTCTAGATTCCTTTCTTCATGCTCTCAGGGGGAGTGAAGCATATGCCCTTTGTGGATTCTGAACTGAACATTAGCATTCTTTCTCTTCCTCCTCTTTCTCCTCCTCTACCTCCTCTTCCTCCCTCCTCTCTCTTTCTCTTCTCTCCCCTTCTCTCTTTCTTATGCCTTAATTCAGCCAGCCTTATGGCACAGAAGGTACCTTCATCCATACTCCCTGAGTGTAGCAAGAAATACAGTTTCCCACTCAGAAACCCTGTGTCTCATTCAGGGAATGTTGGAATATTCAGGAGCTACAATACTCACTGTGTCTCCTTCCCCACATCCTTCACTGACTCCGGCTGACTTACAGTAACCTCCTTCCTTCCTACTCCTCCCCAGAGCTTCAAAACAAAAACAAAAACAAACAAACAAACAAAACCGATCAAGAGCACTGCTCATAGTAGACTTACTCTTTCTCATTCAGGATGGAGAATTTAATTTGCTAGTATTTGCAATAGTAAATGAAATGCAATTTTCAGTGTAAACTTTGTTCATTACGGAAGCAAGGACAGAGACAAAAATAAAATACCAAGTTGCTTTTGATAGCCAACTGGACAAAAAACCTGAGTGGCTTACAAAACAAAACAAAACAAAACAAAACCCCAAACCTGTTCCTGATATTATTGGTTAATTTGGAGGCTGTAGAGAATGGGGTGTTTGATTTTTTTGATTTGCTAAGACTCCCCAAAACTGCTTAATGAGTTGCCTGAAGTCCACAGTAATCCTAGATTTATTCATCCACCAGAATCTGGTTCCATTCATCTACTTGTAGTGGAATGATTTATTATGCATATTTAAGGTTCTCCTAAAGGAAAATCACCAGGAGGGAAAGCACCGGTAAAGAAATCACCTGCCAATTCTACAGATGTGTCACCTGTTCCCATAGTGCCACCACCACCTAAGCCAGGAGCCGAAGAATGGGTCTACGTGAATGAACCAATTCCTGAGGTATGGCAGTTTAGATTGAAGCTAGTAGAAGCTAGCCTTTCTCTTGTTTATAGTAAGATTCACACCATTATTTGCACCATCTAGGCCTTTTATAGCTGGTGATATGTATGCTCATCAGAAAGCCAAGGTGAGGGCACGCATGGTGATGAGCACTGGGTGTTATACTCAACTAATGAATCGTTGAACAGTACATCAAAAATTAATGATGGACTATATGTTGGCTAACTGAACATAATAATAAAAAAAGCCAAGGTGAATTTTTGACACTATTCATTGAATCACATTGTATCCTCTCTCTAGTCCTTCGAGTTTCTGAGTCATGCTTTGAACCACTATTAAGTGCTGAAAGCAGGAGAACAAATGGGTTCTGTGAGGACCAATTTTCTCCCCAAGGACAAGCAGAGATGCAGTTTCCTGGAAGAATGACTTCCTCAGAACACATATCCAGCAAATTATAGCCCTCCATCCATATTCTCATGTCTGCATTGTAATGCTTTCAAATGAAGTTTAACTTCTGACTTTTTACAAATAGAAGAAACTTTTTGAAGCTAACTAAACTAATAAAAGAACAGGTCACTGTCTGGCCTGAGAACTTTAAATAGGTATGCCAAAATAAGGTGAACTCTGGGAACTCCCTTCAGTTCTTTGTTCTCTGACAACTGCAAAGCCCAGTCTCCACGTAGGCAAAGCTGGTTGCTTCAATAGATAAATCATCTTAAGAAAATCACCAAGAATGGTCTTTCCTTTCACACTTTTTTCAAAGACAAATTGCTCTATAAAAGATGCAGCCCCCTTTTTTTTTTCACTGCAATCCTCAGTGAATTCTTACTCTTATGAACTCTGAGCACTGACTGCTTGGGCCAGGCATTTGAGACCAATGATGAATTTCAGTGGTTGTGCTGTTGCTATTATTATTGATCTTTCCTAGGGAAATGTCTTATATCCCCAATTAGATTATAACCTCTTTGAAAGAGGGTAAGAACATGTGGGATAATTGACTATATTCAATACAGAATCAAACACAACATAGATTCTTGATGAAGCTCTAATGATTTAATTAATTTACATTGATAAGGAAGCTAGAACAGAAAATGTTTGAAAATGACAACATTAAATGATACAATTGTAGATGAGTGTAATATCACTCAGCCAAATGAAGCTACTTATTGAAATAAATACATTAAAAAAACTTGTCATAGAATCGGGATATAGAAATGGTTGTTGGGAAGTAGATAAAACTAAAATGATATTATTTGGCAGGGTTGGGGAGTAAGAGACAAAAATATTGAAATCTAATCCTTAAATCCAAACCTTGAAGCTCATGAGAGAAATAAATACATAGAGGACAAGAAGGAAATAGAGGGCAGAAGTGAAAAAATAAACATTAACCCTGAGGTTTGGCACCAGCTCCCATGTAGATCTTCTAGCAGTCAGGATTCTGGCAGAAAACAGATGATAATTTAAGGAGAGTTGAATAAAGGATCAAAAATAAGGGAACATATAAGGATTTGATTATTACCCCCAAACAAGGGGTAGCTGGGAGCCATATGGCCGGTAGGCCTGAAAGGGTGGGGAAAAGGAGCAGATGCTTGGAAGCCAAGAGGACCTCTGTGTGTAGAGGGCCATCTGGCAAGAGCGGAGGCCTTCAGCAGAGGGATGTAGCCACCCACAGTGACACAGCAGAGGGGAGTGGGGAAATACAGGACCAGACCTCATGTTCTTCTTGCTCTCCCATCTGTTGCCCAGAAGATGGAGGGTTAGGTTGTTTCCTGAAGTAGTTCACATAAGTTAGCCTTCCAGGGCACTGAGCAGCCCGAAGAATGAAGGATAGGAACTTGGTCTGTAGGAACAATGGGAAGATATGCAGCACAGACCTCTACCTCTAATAACCTAAGTGAAACCATGTGGAGAACATATTTTGCTACAACTAGAAGTAGTCTAGAGCCTAGAAACAAAGCAGCCACATGATCCTCTCTAGTCCTTTTCCCACCCTAAGGTTCTCACCCTTTGGCAGGTAAGCTGTAGAGCTTACCTGTCGAAGAAGAAAGACAGATGCCCAGTTAAATTTGAATTTTAGATTATCAATGAATTTAAGTGGGCCTCCTATACTTTATCTGGTAACCCCAGTTCCAGGCCATCCAAGGACCCCATATCTACCTCCCTCAGTAGGCATGTGGACAGAGAAAGAGAGGAAGGGGGAGAGGAGAAGAAGAAGGGGAGAAGGGAAGGTAGATTGAGAGAGAGAGAGAGGTTGAAGAGATTGAGAGAGATTGCTTTCAGATCTGGCTCTTCCAGGTGGAAGCAGCAGCCAAGTTCCAGAAGAACCTGGGTCCTACCCCCTTTGTCAGCCAGAAGGAGGGGTGCAGAGAGAACTGAGAAGGCAGTCAGAGTGAGAGATCTTTGCTTTTCAGCTTCTGAAGTTTTGGAACATATTTGCTTTGGCTACTGATTTCCTATTATACTCAGTCTTACCCAATGAAAAGAAGACTATTTAATTGGAAAGTATAGATCTGAACATCTAGTCATATCACATAAGTTCAAGTGCCCAGACCCAGAAAAAATTATATCCTAGAGACTGGAAGAACCTATAGATTTGAAATTATCAACAACTCATAGAAATCACAGAGGATATGGGAGATTCCAGAAGACCAGATATAGGAAAATACCTAAATGTTTAATAAAATGCTGATGGGATTTAATAACATACAAACCAATACTCCAAACATTAAACCCTGACACAATTTGAGAGAAAATATTAAAAGTCTGACTTCTGAGCATGTATAAACTACAAAAATGATCCCCCAGAGCCCACATAGTTTCACTAAGTCCTGCTGAACTGGCCCATTCCTTTTCCTTGACAGCAAGGTTGACTAGATGGATCAGGGAAGTACCATAAACTTTGTATATCTTGAGTTCAAAATAGTATTGGACAACTTCTCATGAAGTTCTTATAAACAAATGAGATCTGTGAGCAGGGTGTTAATTCAATTAGGTCTATTCCTAGGTGGTAACTCTCTATGCACAAAGTGTGAATTAATGGATTAAAGTCATCCAGGAGGGAGGTGGAGTAATGGGGCTTATTTAAAATGGTCTTTAGCACCATTCTGGGTATCATGAAAAAGTAGAAACCAGAGGCAGGAACTAGGGGGAAAAAAAGGTGTTAAAATAATGTCAGAGGAGCATTAAAGGAACTGTAGGCATTTAAACTAGATAAATGAATACTTCAAATGTGTCTGGACATTAAATCATAGACTTTTAGAACTGGATGGAGCCAGCCAGTCTCCTAAAAATTTAACTGATGATAAAATTGGGTTCAGGTGAGTCTACGTAGTAAAATTTATTGAAGGCCTGTTACGTGCAAATGCTGTACTAGAAGCTGAGCCTAACAAAACAAGTTTCATCCTGAATCCCAGCCTACCTCTCCCCATTGTCCTCCAATATCTGAGAGGCTGTCACAGGGAAGACTGTTATGAATGTAGTCTCCCCTTCTCCAAAGGGCACAGCTAGGGCTGGGAAGTGGGAACTACAGGAAGGCAAATTGCTGCTCAACACAAGGGAGACTTTTACAGTAACATAGTTGTGTGACACTGGAGGACCTGCCCTGGAAGGTATCAGTGAGGTCCACGGAGGGATCATTCATCGCTAGTATTTAGCATTTCTGAATTGGAAAGGAGATTAGCCAAATAACCTCTCAGGTCTCCATGTGTAATTCCCTGAGTAAATAAATGCACAGCCAGTGAGGGAATATTTAGTACAGAGAATTTATATTGAATATAATATGTATCTTCAATTTTATTTCATTTTGATTATTTCTTAGTTTTGGTTATTTATTTGTATCATCAAAGATAACCTAAAGAAACTTTCTAATTTTCATGGTACACACAGCAAAGATAAAACCACTTGGGCAAATTCAGAGAAATGACTCATCACCACCCTGACATGAACACTAGATATTGTCCATGATAGGCAGTTTTCCAACTTAGGCAAAATATGACATCTATTTATTCATTCAATAAATATTTCTTGGACACCTATTATGTCCCAGACGCTGTGGTGATTATAGGAAAAATGGTAGAGTGGTGACTAAAACAACCATTGTTCTCATTGTTCTTTATGAGACTGATATTCTAGAGGTGAATATGGACAAATGAACAAGCAGTTGCCATTAATGTCATCCCTACTATACTAGCAGAAAGTACAGGGGCTGAGATAGAACTCTGGAATGTCAGGAGGTGACCTTCAAGACTTTTTGGATCAGGGAAGAATTTCTGGAAGAAATTTATCTGAACTGAGACATGAAGAAGTATTTGGAATAGAAATTAGTTGGGGGAGAAAAGAAAAGGAGGGGCAAGAAGTTTCACAGAGAATGCATTAGATAGTTCCATCTGCATCTTGTTCTTCTTGCTTAGTATTGCTCTTTTGACTCAGTCAGAAGAATTGTCACTTTGAAATGATTAATTTTATGCTTTACCATTTAACAGGAAATACCTTCCTTTTTAGTACCTTACTGGGAACTAATAGAAAATTCCTATATAAACTCCATCAAAACAGTACTCAGGCATCTGAGAGAAGAACAGCATTCTGTGATTTCTTACTTATATGAAGTTAGGTAAGTAATGTTTCCAAAGTCAGAATTCTGTAGTCTATAGGCATGTCATGTGAGCTCCATCTCATTCTCTTACTGCCTTACAGAACAAATTTCCAGCATTTTCTGCGGCGTCCAGATCACAAACAAGATTTTGTATCTCAATGGCAGGCTGATTTCAATGCTCTTCCTGATGACCTGTGGGATGATGAGGAAACAAAGTCTGAACTACACCAAAGAGTAAATGTAAGGAAATCTGCGACCTGCTGCACCAGGGTCTCCACACGAGAATATTGTACTGCAGAACCCTAACTCATTCCCTTTTTCTTCCATGAGGTGTGAGGGTGAGGAGGGAAATGGTTTGAACACTTAACCTGCCAACTTTCAAGAGCAATGGCTCTTCCAAACTTCAGTTGAGACTCATGTTCTCAAAATGATAACATGGTGGACAACACTTCCAGAAAGAGGAGCCAAGTCCAGCAAAGCAAGAGCATTCTTGGCATCTGTTTTGTAGACCCCTGACCCCTTTGTTTGGCATTGTAACTATCTCCATGCCTGGCATTAAGCACATACCTACCTTGAGTGCAGTCATATGGTTGGATGATGTCAGGGAGAAGGGGAATGAGGGAACTTCATGGAAAACCTAAAGGGCTGCCAATATTGAATCGATCCTTTGAGGGAGGGTACCAAATCTTATACATCTTTGTATCTCCAGCAGGCACAGTGCCTGGCCCTTAATAGGCAGATTTTCATAAATTCATAAGTGGAATATATGACCCTGATGTTTTAGAAAAGGACTTCTGAAGTCCAGGAAGCCTGATTTCAATTAGGAAGTTAAAAACATTAAACTTTTTAGAAATATCAATTCAATCAATAAAGTAGAGAAGCTTCTAATAAAAATAGTCAAGGAAAGACGAAAAACTTCAGGTAGAAACTTGGATAGATCCCATTGTTTTTGACTTTAGTATTTTCATTATAATTAATTACCAAATAGTGTCTAATTGCCTTATTGATATTGTCACTGACCACATAATTATTTTTAAAATGTTTTGTTTCATTTCCCAGTGACAAATTTTGTTATTGCTTTAAATTTTGTCCCTTGCTTCTAATTTTGTTGCATTGTGATCTGAGAATTAGGTATTTAGAGTTTTGACTTATTTAAGTAATTTCAATAATATTTTAAATTTATCTAAATTTTTCAGTTGCCTTAAACATGGAAAATTTTTGTTGATATTCCATGGGTGCTAGAAAATAGCATGTAGTCTCTATTTAGAAGGTTCAATAAGTTTTGGCCAAATCAACCTTGTTAATGTCATTAGAATGCTTTTTAGCAGTGGATTCTCAGCAAGAGTATATTGTAGGGAAACTTAAGTAGTTTTCGAAAATCAACCTGCCTTTGCTTCCAGCCCTATGTCCAAACTCAGGTTTAGGATGGGCCCCATATATCACTTTCATTTTTTAAAGTGTCATAGAAACAATTACCCTTTTGTTACATTTTTATATCTACATAATCTTGCAAAAACTATTGAAACAATTACCCTTTTGTTACATTTTTATACCTACATAATCTTGCAAAAACTAATGGAAGTAAGTTAAAAATCCCTATGATGGTTACATTTCTATCCATTTGCCTTGCTTTATAGATTTTAATAGATTTAGTAGATTGCTTTACAGACTTAATGTAGCAGCAGTAAAGCTAACCTGAACATGTACGTGCTGGCACTGTCTTCCTGCATCCTCAAGACAGCCCTTTGAGGTGGGAACTAGTAATATTCCCATTTTATGGATGACAAAATATGGTGAAGTAAGTGTCAGATCTGGAATCTGACCCCACGCCACCACACTCCCCGGCCCATGCCCGGAACCATTCATTAAGCTGCTTTTCTGAAGCAGCGTTATTTGACATGTGAAGAAACGTATCAAGCTATTTCTTCATGGTCTCCTATACTCTTTAGAGTATAAAATAACCATCTTTGCACCAAAGTATTTCTTTTGTGTTGAATTCTACTGTATCTGATATTAATGCTGTGAACCTTGCTTTATTTCTTATTTGTGTTTGTCTTGTATAAGTTTTGACTTTTGACCTTTTTGTGTCATTTTGTTTTATGTGAGACTCTAGTAAGCACCATATAAATTGAATTTGGGCTTTTGACCCAACAGAAAACCTTTGAAACTTTTGTAAAAGTGTTCAATTTTAAAGATTTTTGTCTGCACAACCTTCACAATTAATAGCCATGAGTTTTTCTTCAATACAACCCACTCTTCAATACAACCCACTCAGGAATATATAATAATTCCCTAATTCTTGTCAAATGAAATGTGACAACCAGCCATGCCTCTGGGTAAGCCCAGACCCTCTCTATGCTTGGTCAATGTCCTTGTTCTTGTCTTATTTCATTCCACTTCTGAGAAGTTAATGGAGAGGTTCTGCTATTGCATTGTCCCCACTCTGCCATCAGAAATCTGAACCACAGAGATGCTAGTACTTGCCAAGGCCTCACAGTGAGGCAGAAACAAAAAGAAAACTCTTCGGGCGCCTGGGTGGCTCAGTCGTTAAGTGTCTGCCTTCGGCTCAGGTCATGATCCCGGGGTCCTGGGATTGAGTCCCACATCGGGCTCCCTGCTCCGTGGGAAGCCTGCTTCTCCGTCTCCCACTCCCCCTGCTTGTGTTCCCTCTCTCGCTGTGTCTCTCTCTCTCAAATAAATAAATAAAATCTTTAAAAAAAAGAAAAGAAAAGAGGAATTATTTACCAAAAATTAAAAAAAAAAATCAGGGTAGAAACAGTAAAGAAGGAGGCATAGGGCACTGAGTACAAACAGTCATTTTGTCCCCATATGGTTCTGCATTGTATATAGTTCTACATTTTATATCTGCTTCAAATGTACTTGGGATTAAATCTGAAGGAGTTCACAGTTAACATTCTATTAAAGGGTCTATTATCAAATCCACTACCAAACTTCAGAATTCAATTTAAAACTTGAGCTGTCAGTGTGACACAATATAATAGTACTATATCCATGCTGCTATTTAAAAATATTTTTTGAGATTTCAGAATCTATTTTAGAACTGATTTTAAAAAAACAGGTAGAGTAGATGTTGCCCCAGCCGAAATTAGACTTGCCCACAATGCTTTATAAATTCAGTGTCCTTTATAAATTCAGATATCTCTATCTGTAACTTCTATTCTCTGTTGCCTTGTTTAGAGCTAGTTTAGAGCTAAATAGTTGGTTACCCAAAGTATTGTTATTAAAGGAAGTAGGAGCTTATCTAAACTTTATTGTTACTATTATTAAGCTTATTTCTAAAAAAAGCAACTAGTTCAAATGTTTGGTTTTTATGTATTTGTTTGTTTACTTATTTTTGAGTCTGGCAGTCGGCTATTTGGATACTTAAAAGTCTTTTTATAGAGGCTGACCAAGTTTAAGGTTAATCCTTTTCTATGTCTTCTTTCTATGAAGTCTTGGTTGTTGGATCTGAGAAGTTTAAATATGGCATGGGCTATACATTTACACATTCTTATAATTATCACTTCTAAATATAAATAGTAGGTCAGACAGGGTCTCTCCATCATAGGCATTTAAATTGTCCCATATGTCCATCCTTCCAATGAAGAATAAACTGTAGCCCAGGGCAAAGGGTAGATAATGATTGAACTTGTTTGGTGAATAATGTGGAATATAGGGATTTTTTTCAAGGAACTAATTTATTATTTGGGATGCCTTATTGACCTTTAGATGATCAGTTTCCCGTTTTCCCCCTTCCAGCATAGTTTTGAACTAGAGTTCAAGGAATCCAAGATAACCATATCCAAACCATCCTTTACATTGCAAGTTATAGTCAATGCAAAACAGAAATGTAGAAATTACAAGGCGTGAGGTCAGGAAAAGCTCAAGGATGCATCATCTCAAAACAATGTGGTTATTCAGCTCTTCCTCAAGGTGTTTTGGCATCATCTTATTACAGATTTAGTTGTCTTATTGTATAAGGATCATTTAGTTGAAATAAATAAAAATAGAGCCATATGCTTCAAATGAACTTGTAACTAACTTTTAAAACTCTGCAGGTTATGTTGCATTGAAGAGTTTACAATCAAGTCCACTACCAAATATTGATACTAAACTTCTCAGTGTGACAAATCAAATAGCACTATCAGGGCTGTCATTCAAGAAGTTTTAATCCAGTCTGTCTTCAGGTTAATTTTAGCTCAAGTGAAGACGTCACAAATATAACTGTTTATCTGTGAGAAATAGCATTGCATTGTGTATGAGTAATACAGCCCAGAATATTAAAGAAAATCATCAATAATGTTTATGTCTTGAATTTTGTTTAGAGTCCTTGCATGGTAAGCAAGAATCTCTTCAGGAAGGAAAAGGGAAGAAAGGTGACACTTCACTCAAAAGAAAAGGTACCGCAGATAAAGATAGATATGGTTCAATGTAATTCTGCATTTCCTAACTGCCTCAGGGAAGAGAGCCAGATTTGTTAGTTGTATACACTGAATACTTCTCTTAGGCCTTGTAAACCATAAGCCCTTGCCAAAGAATATAACCTCAGTCATTCTGTAGCCTGGATTTTAGCAAAGGTCCTGCTGAGAAAAGTGATGTTTGTGGGGAATAATTTAGAGATATCTAGTATACAGAATATCCATTCATCGTAGAAATTATAGGTGTTATCCTTGGGCTAAGCTATGCCATCAGAAAGCTATGCACTGAACCATATTTTCTTGAGCTCTCATCAAATTGCCTTCACTGATACGCACTTCGGTATAAAGTCCTCAACTCCCTTCACAGTATAACATAGCAGTGGAGGGGAAACTTTCATTATACCAATAATAACCTCATATTTTATTTTCTGAGGGGATAGCATGCCCACTACATCATTTAATGGCCCGTATATGAAATCCTAGGTGAGAAATTTCATTCAGAATCAAGGGACAGGAAACTCTTTCTTCCTCTGAGTGGTTAGATAATTAGCACATCTAAATGATGATACTTCCTTTTCTATTTTGGCTGACCAGAAGTTCAGAACCAAACTAGTGCCCGTATCCATGCAAGGGTACCTAGATCTCAATATCTGCTTTCTAATACCTCTCCCAGTTTTGACCTTCCACTTTAAGTTGTACTTGTCCTCACCCTAATTTCATGTAATTTTTTTCTATTTTGTTTTAACTGTTTCTGTGAAATAAAGGGGGTAAAATTTTTAAGTAATTGATAGTTGACAGAAGAAAATCCTAGACTCGTAACAGCATCTTAGTTAGATTTATGTTGAAGCTGCTATAACAACCAATTAAAGAT